AGCCGTTCCATGGCCCGGGCCCGGCGAACCCAAGCCTTGGCCAGGCTCTTTTGGGGTCTTTCCCTTAAAGGTTTAGGGTTTAGGGTTTAGGGTTTAGGGTTTAGGGTTTAGGGTTTAGGGTTTAGGGCTCTTTGGAGTCTTTCCCTTACTTGGAGGTTCATGGGACTTAATAAGTGCAGTTCTAGGTACCTTAATTGGGGTAAGGGTCCAGGGGTATGGAGTTGATGGTTGGGTTTAGGACTTAGGATTTAGGTGTTTTTAAGGTTTTAAATTTTAGGGTTTAAGGGTTTTTCGGACGTCGGGTTTAGGGTTTAGGGTCTAAGTTTGGGGTCTCGTGTTTGTTGGGGTTTAGGTGTTTAGGGTTCAGGAGTTTCGGAATCTAGGTTGTGGGGAGGCAAGCGTGAAGGCTTAGGAGTTTAGGTTTATATAAGAGTTCAACTTTGTTAGGGTGGTCCAAGCCTTGGCCATGCTTGGGGCCAGCAGAACGGCGCAAGCCGCCTCCTGCAGGGAAGTCTCTTGCCATGGAAGCCTCTCACTATGTTAGTGTTATAGTATACGCTAGCAGACATAAGGGGGTCTTTGGTGAAGTTCATGTGGTACTGCCCTCCCACCCAACCATTTCCAGGCGGCTTGAAGAGTGTGATCCCCCCAGACCACCCCGGGTCTTCGTGAACCTCCCGGTCGGGGGCGGGGGCTGAAACCATGCTCCGATCACTCCACTCCCCTCCGCAATCCACCAAGTCTCGGCCCAGAAAAACAGGTACGGTAGCAGTACAATGCTGGTAGTGGTAGTGGTGGTAGTAGTAGTAGTAGTAGTAGTAGTAGTAGTTAGTACGTACGTACGTACGTACGTACGTACGTACGTACGTTACGTACAATACTAGTAGTACAGTAACAAAGTCTAGTCATGATACAGTAGTAATACAGTAGTATAGTCTAGCGGGGTTTAAAGATCACAAAAAAATGAAGGGTAATAAATTACTGTTAGGTTTTAAGGTTGGGGGGTTCTGGTTTAGGGTTCCTTCTACGGAAAAGACGCATTATAGACTTTGCCCAAAAGTTTGCAGTAAAACAAATGAGCCGCGGAAAATTAAAAAAAAAAACACACTTTCCAGGATCACATAATTCGCAGCGGTGTCACGTTACAGTTGACAGTAGGGGCATGCTGGTATGCAATGGCTGACACATATATGGCTTCCTTGCCATCTTGCCATGGTGACCGGGGCATATAGTGCATGGCTTTTGCTACCTGCGGCGATAGAGGCACACAGTAAAAACTCGCACGGTGGCCTTTTCATTTTATCTCGTTAATATGGCACTTCACGTTTAGAAGGAGCTCAACCCTAAACCCTACACCCTAACATCAACATTATTTCTGGTATTTCACCCTAAGCCCGAATCCCTAGAGTGCTCAAGCAGCCAAGCCTGAAGGGCTTGGCGTAGCGTACCGGAGCTCTGGGAGCCCAATAGGTGGCAGGCGGCCAAATTCGAGAGGAGCAAGGCGTTTTCCTGGAGCTCGGGAGCCAAGATGCGCAAGGCCTCCTCCTGGGCTTCTTCTTGGAAATACACCCTTTTTCGTTTCGGGTTTAGGGTTTTAGGGTTTAGGGTTTAGGGTTGTAGGGTTTAGGGATAAAAACACAGCTCAAGTACCAGATACTTAATAAGGAAACCAAGTAGGGAGGACGATATACCCTATTACCAAAATTACGGCCAAAGCCGTAACCGTATGAGTGCCTACATACCCCTGCTGTGGTAGTATAGGATAGAAGGCCTCATTCAGAGCCATGCTTCGTAGAGGGAGTCCGCCACATCAGGCTTTCCGGCTTTGAAGGCCTCACCCCCACGAAGTTTCAAGGCGTGAGCTGCCTTCAAGCGCTCCGCCAGCGGCGACTGCGTCTGGCCCTCCATTCCACCACCTGGGAGGGGTGGATACCATCATGGCCCTTCCAGCACGACTTGGCATACTTAGACTCCACTGTTGACATTCCTTTCCCCTATAACCCCTATAAAACAAAAACCCTAAAGTCCCATAAAACCGCTGAGTCTTCGGAAGCTCCCTCCTTGAAGGATGCCTTCGTTTTGCTGGACCACGCCGGGTAGCCAGGCCCACTCCTCCGGGTCAGCATCTCGGCAACTGCCCGTGCAGGCCTGCAGGAACTTCAGACTGGCTTTCAGGGTTCAGGGTTTAGGGTTTAGGGTTTAAGTTTCAGGTTTGGGCTTTAGGGTTTGGGGTTTAAGGTATAGTAGGGTTCAGGCTTTAGGGTTCAGGGTTTAAGGTTTAGGGTATAAGGCTTAGGGCTTTGGGTTTAGGATTTATAGGATTTAGGGTCTACCCATAGGCCCTAAAGTAGTTCCTTGTTGGGGTTCATCTATAGAATCCTGTAAGGCAACCCCCAAAAAAGGAACGACTATGGGACCTATGGGGTTTAGGGTTTAGGGGTTTAGGGTTTAGGGTTTAGGGTTTAGGGTTTAGGGTTTAGGGTTTAGGGTTTAGGGCTGGCCTGCAGGGCCTTGAGCTCGGGCCAGGTTTGCAGCCCCTGCTGCACCAAGAGCTGACCCGAAGCAGGGCTCAGATGGCACAAAGCCTGAAGGCTTCAGTGCCCTCAACCACCCAGAGACTCCAAAATCCTTTAATTAAGGAATATACCTTAAATCATATTAGGGATCCTATTATAATTTAAGGTATATTCCGTAACTAAGGGGTTCTCTGGGCAAAAGCTACCCTCTTGACTATGGTAGAACTGTTTCTACGCAGCTATAGATGTAGATATGTGTGTAGATCAGAACCTAGTCTAATTTAACCTGCTCCTTATTTAAAGGCCTATAAATTCCAAGACTTGCCAAGTACGGTTATAAGTACCTCAATTGGGGTTATAAGTAATTATAAGTGTAGTTGCCTCATTTATAACCCTAGTTACTAGGTCCCATAAACCTTTAAGTAGGCCTACAAGGTCCAAGACTTGCCAAGAAGCCTCCGCCTGCCGGTACCTGGCCTTGGCATTCTTGGGATCGAGAAGAGTCGCCACGCTGGCACAGCGCAGGGCCGAGAGCCAGTTTTGCGCCTTCTGTCAAGGCGGCTTTTAGGGCTCAGGGTCTTCAGTTATAAGCCCTATAAACCCTAGAAACCCTAGAAAACCCTATAAGCCCTAAACCAGGGTTTAGGGGTATGAGTGGATAAAGCTCATATCATGCACGGTCTTCGGCTTTAGGGGTTTCAAACTCAAGTTTTCGGCATCATATCGGATTTGGGGCATATAAGGCTTGGTGTTTATGTAGGATTTAGTGTTTATCCAGGGTTTATATAGGGTCTATATAGAATCTATAGAGCTTTGTGTTGAAACGCCTTAGCGGCACAGAGGGATCGGTTGCTGAGAAGCATCGCCACGGGCACCTCAGGGTGTGCCTGCAGGCCCCTTGCCTGGGCTCATGTCAAAGACAATCAAAGGTTTAGGGTTTAGGGTTTAGGGTTTAGGGTTTAGGGTTGGTAATCAAAGGAGAGAGAGAGAGAGAGAGAGAGAGAGAGCGAGAGAGAGACTGAGAGAGAGAGAGAGGCAAAATTAAAAACACACCGAAACAGAGAAACAACTACATAGCCCAGGCCCTGTACACCTCTAGGAACGGCTGTTCTCAAATATCTAACTGTGAAGGTGGAACCCTTTCACATAAGCCCGGTATCATAGCACTCCGTTGCGGAGTCGACTTTCTTGCTCTTGAAGAACCTGGATGACTTCCAGGATTCCATAAAGGGTTTAGGGTTTAGGGTTTAGGGTTTAGGATTTAGGGTTTAGGGTTTAGGGTTTAGGGTTTAGGATAAACATCAAAAATATTTGAGCTGTTTAACGACTCCATGTGGGTCATGGTCCACACAACTTCCATTTGGTATCAAGATTAGATACGGTTTACTGAGTTTACTAAAGTCGACAATTTGGGGGTTTCCGAAAATAGGGGACCCTCATATAGTACCATAAAATAATAGGATTTTTATTATAAGGACCCCAAAATAAGGTACCCCTGTTTCGTAAAACTCGCATTTTAACCAGATACGCCCCAGGAACTGGTTGCCGACCTCACGCCAGCTGGCAGCACTGCTGGGGAGCTGGGTCTCCTGCAGCTCGGCCGGGTTCTCCACGCGGATTCCTGGGATCTTCTCTTCAGAAAACCCTCAGTTTAGGGTTTAGGGTTTAGGGTCTAGGGCTCAGATGAAGGTACCATGATAGTGCATGGTAACCTGGTAGACGGTACGTTCCCGCCTTGTGGCAGCTGAGAGTAGTTCTATGGCAAGAGTTCGACATACCGGTAAGCTGATGAACTAGTCGCTTAGAACCTCATGGACGAAGTAAATCAAAGGTACCGTCGGTGCCATCGGCTCGGATCTTGTAGTACGGCTCTGCGATGGAGAGGACACGGCCCTTGCAGTACAGTCGCATCGCCGCCTCCGCCGGCACGTTGTAGACGGCCACCTCCACGTAGTCACCTAAGCTCTTCTTGAACACAAATCTTACTTCAAGCAGCCACAGAAACAACGAGGAAGTCCATTGTTTGATTGTACCTCCTGTGTCTTCATAGTGGCTCAGTCAAAAAGGGGCCCATGTCAACTACGCGCAATACACGCTGGCAACTTCGTTATAAGCCCTAAAGCGCCGTTAACCCGGGAACATTAAACCCTGAACCCAAAACCCGACCCCCCTCCCTCCCTCCTTTACCACAGCCCTGTTGCCAAAGATGTCCTCCAACACAAAGGCCGCGGAGGCGATAAAATCGGGATCTTCCGCCACTGTCCCGACAAGGCGGCAACCTCTTGGAGGAGCCGGAAAACTTAGTAAGTAGATATAATTAATTAGTAGGGTTTCGGGTTTACGCCGGGGGACCTAGTAAGTAGGTATTATAATTAGTAGACGCATAAGTACCCTAAAGGGGCTGTATACTTACAGGTCTGTAAAATCACTAGTTCCTAAGTCCCTCCCACCTCTGTGTGTGGTGCCCACGGAGAGCTCCGAGATTCTTGTTATGGACAAGCTCTCCAAAACCTGGTCTCCGGTTGTTTTAGGGTTTAGGGTTTAGGGTTAGGGTAAGGAACTAAGCATCCCAAGGAGGCGAATGTAGTGTACTCGATTTGCTACGTTTCTTTCTTTCTCGTGAAGTTCTAGATCAACTTGAAGTAAAACCTTCGAAAGCGCCCAGACGCTCCTCCTTGCGGCTTCGTGTCGTAACTGTGGGAGAACGTCATGTTTGCGGTGTAGGAGCCCGGCCTTTGCGCCATTTTCTGTGCGTTCGCCCGCCGCTTTGCCTGGAAACGTTCTAAGGCGTTCTTGGGAGCTCCTCCACCGCCGAGGCCGAAGAGATTTCCCATCATCCTTAGGCTAAGTTGCTAAAGGAAGCAGACCAAGCTGCCATACATAGGATTATAGGAAAGGGAGGGAGGGGTGGTGTATAATCATGGGGTACTATAACTTATGGTTTCAATAGTATGGAGTCACCGGGACTAGGAATGTGTAGTCGTGAGCATAATTTACTGCTTTCTTCCTGAAAACTCTTCCGACTTCTGCTTCGGATCCCCCTATAACAAGGACCTAGCATCTGCTCCGCCTGCTTCATGATGGCCTCGCGGTCGTTTTCGGACATGGATGAAAGGAGCTCCATGACTCTCGCAGGGTCGGGTGCGGACGTGACGTCAGCATGAAAGGACGGCATGGCGGCAGAGAGTGCCTAGACCCTACAACCCGAACATCAACATGAATGCCCCAAACATCCTTGAACCCCAAACCCTATGTAAATACCCCGAACGTTACCCGCTCTGCTAGTAAGTCACTATAATCCCTGAACCCTAAAGCCTACCTAAACCCTAAACCCTAAACCCTAAACCCAAAACCCTAAACCCTAAACCCTAAACCCTAATATTCTACTACGAAGTCTGTTTAGGGAGCAGGAGGGAGGAGCCGGGGAGGCTCTCTCACTCGTAGCCTTCCGCGTCTCCTCCCCTCCCCAGCTCTTGGGAGGATTTCACAGCAAGGCCAGTGCGAACAGAACTTGCAGTTGAAGGTTTAGGGTTTAGGGTCCCGGGATTCGGGTTTAGGGCTTAGATTTAGGGTCCAAGGGATCGGGTTTAGGGTTTAGTTTAAAGTTTAGGGTCCAGCGGTTCAGGTTTCGGGTTTACTTTAAGGTTTAGGGTTTAGTTCGGGTTTAGGGTTTACTTTAAAGTTTAAGGTTTAGGGTCCAGGGGTTAGGGTTCAGGCTCTACAAACCCCTGTTGGGGACTTAGTAAATGGGTGATAAGTAGACTCATAAGTACCCTAAACAAGGTCGTAATTGGGGTTATGATACTTTCAAGTCTATGAAATAACCACTTGCTACGTCCCCCGACCCTCCAAGTGAAGCCCTCAACCCTGAACCCTAAACCCTAAACCCTAAACCCTGAACCCGGGGCTTGAGTCCTGAACCCCGAACCCGAGATCCGGAACTCCACGCATTTCCCCAACCTACGTCCTAAACCCTAAACCCCAAATGTTACGTCGCGAACCTAAATGTCCTAAACCATATACTCCCCAGGCTGAGATTAGGTTTTAGTACACACGACTCCTGAAATTATAAGGTCATGGGTAGACCCTACATAGGCTTCGAGGTGTATTGCTCAGTTGAACTAGAATCTAGAATGCCTTAGAGCCCCTTCACATCGCATCAAGATCTTCAACGGCCTATGCAAATTTTGTATACTCCGGCCATGCAAGATATCCGTCAAGTCTCGACACCTTCCTAGCATCAAAAAAGCCCATCCTAAAGTAAAAAACCAAACCTCAAGTCAAGCCGCATACTGCAGGGGCCGAAAGGGGGAACATGGGTTTGAGGGTTTAGGGTTTAGGGTTTAGGGTTTAGGGTTTAGGGTTTTCTTCAGGGTCTAGCATAGAATCCTTCTCAAGACTGAGCACTTCCATGCTCAAGTTTCCTAGCATTCTGGGTCTCTTCACATTGTGGCGGTGCTCGCAGGCTAGAAGCTACGGCCTAAGGGTGTCGGACAAAGTATGACGGCAAAGCCTTGCCGCTGAACGAAACCCCATCCTTTGAGCACCAAACTGTATTCGATGCCGTAGTCATCTTTCATGATTGTAAATATAATAGGGAACCCCCAAAATAATGTAGGCAGTTATTACGGCCTATATTATATTCTCGGAAGAGTTGTGTACTAGTCCGTTTCCGACAAACGGCAAAATTGAATCATTGCACACGCAAGTCCAGAGCACGAACGCAAATGCTGCCGTCCAAACTGACTATCTATGTTGCGCGAACCTCTGCATCTCAAAACCCGGCAACAACCTCGAACGGAAGGGCGGTAGGGACACCCCGTCAACTTTCACGGACCCTATGTGACTTCTGTACCCAATCTCTTCTGTTGCAGCCTGTCAGAAACACTGAAACACATCAACTATTAAGCACCCGACAAATAAGGCTGCAGAAATTTCAGTCTCCGAAGCCGTGTTCTTTGCAAGTTGTTCTTGCATTTCATCTTTTTGAATCCTTTTGAAGTTTTAGGGTTTAGGGTTTGGGTTTAGGGGTTGAAGGGTGTAGGGGTTAAGTAAAAACTAAGACTTTGAACCCTGCAAGGGCTGCCTTGAGGCCCAGAAGGACAGCTGGGTAGCCAGCTGCAAGGCCAGGAGGGGACCACCCATTCAACCTGTCACTTACTTCTCCAATAAACCAGGGAGATAAAAGGTTAAACTTTTAGGTTACTACTAAGTCATAAGAACCCAAAAAGTTCAAAGGTTGGGTATTGGGGGACTAAGGTCAAGGGTGCTTCGTCCGGGAATGCTGGAGGTTCGGCCTGCAAATGCCTTAGTAGATACTGTAGATACTAAACCGTAGATACTGTTGAAATAGGCAGAGCGTGAGGACAAAACTTTGAAACAGAATGGCTGCCATACTGCCAGACGGAAAAGTTCTGGGAAGCACTGACCTTTTGTGCCTGTTCTTTGTACTCTGTGGATACAGAGACCTTTACTAGACGCGGACTCTACCAGAAGGAGACTACGCGTCTTTGTCTCGCTATCGTCCATTTTTCGTTTATGATGTGGCTCTGCTGGACGGCATCTCTTCACACCCACGAGGTTGCCACGTCACCGTACCCTGAAAAAGTGCCACGACGACATGCAATGGCACTAACAGCAAGCTGTGCAGAGTGTTGTGGCTTTTCTCCACGAAGCTGCGGCGACGGCCACGTTGCAGTGTTTGTGTCGAACCGTGAATCGGCAGACAAGTTGGACCCCCAAACGGCAGACAAACGCGCGACAACTCTTAAGTGGCAGAAAGCCGACATCTGACACAATGCCTCAGGCTGCACCACAGTGTGTCACAGCACGTCACAGAGGGTCCACACTGAGATCTAGCCAGGCCCGGTACAGAAAGAAAGTGCGCGGCGCCCGTCAGAGGCCTTCTATCCCTTCAGGTGAAGGCACCTACTCAGGCTGCGCAGAAAGGGATGTCAAACGCACACCCTGTCTTGTCCTTGTATTTGTGAGTATACACGTGCGCATGTAGATCATGTGTAAGTAGATCACAAATGAACAAATGTTTTAAATGTGTAGTTATGTAGATATTTTGGATATACATTGATTGTAATATACATTCATCCAAAATAATCCAACCACGCATATGAAGGCTGTACAGCCTTCCATCTTTGCGCATGCATGCAAGAATAAACGCCAAGGCATGTGATGCAACCAGAAGCTGCCTCAGCTGTCCTCGGACCCAGAGTCCTCAGGAGATACTTTCGTCGAGTAGCCTGCACCTTTTAGGGTCTAGGGGTTTAGGGTTTAGGGTTTAGGGTTTAGGGTTTACCTGCTTGAGGCTGTTCGTAAACTTGAGGTCCTTTCTCTTGTACTTCTTTTCGCTCCTCCTGTACCTTGAGCTGCTTGAAGTGAGCAAAGCTCAGGACTGCAAGCGTCATCACCAGACACACAAGCCACACAAGATTAAAGGTGTCTCGGAGATTGGCTTGGGTGGCATCGCACTCGCCGGGGCTCGCCATATCGACTTGGGCGAACTTGAGAAGTGTGGCCATGAAAGAGGCCCGAACAAATTCGACCACACCTGCCAGGAGACAGGTCAGGGTTTAGGGCTGACTCAGGATTTGGGGCATCGCAAGGCCCCACGGTCTTTTTGGAAACCAGAAGCTTGCGAAGGCCAATCTGTGATGACAAGTTGATGTGAACAAGTGAATGGTCCTCTCCGCCTGCGGTAAGGGGTGGTGTCCACGTTTGGACTAGACAGCTCTTCATGCCAAGGCTCCATCCTTTTGTTAAGCAGTAAAGTTTCAAGGCTGGTGGGGTTGCATGTTTGCAAAAGATTCATGCTTTGGCAGCCAAGTCTAGACGTTTGAAAACAAGAGCCTTTTGAAGCAAGACTGCTGAAGGCTAACATGGCACAGTCTCAGTTCGCACACCCTAACACCAGGCCTCCTATCATGAAGATTGTTGCAACAAGGAGGATAAAGCGAACGTAGAGGAACCACTCTTCGAACCGCAAAGCTTTCTCTTCTTTTTGCAGGTTGTGTAGATCCAGACCGGAGAGTGACATGAAGACCATTACCACCATGAAGATATTGTTGCTCAGGAAGAAGCCGCCCAACAAAGTGTCAAGGCGCAGGATGGCTGCAGGCCAATGCTCTGGCCAGCCGCGGCATTCAGCCAACCGCCTGGAGGCCTCCAAAAGCTCCTCGTTCTCAAAGGCTCCTGTCTAAGGACTTTAGGAGGGACCCCTAATAGGGACCCTTAATCCCATTACCTTAAATAACCATTGTATAGTCCTTATATAGCCAAGGGTCCCTATTAAGGGTCCCTTTTTTGGGTCCCTCCTAAAGCCCTTAGATCCTGGGAAGGAGATGAGCGCGCTAAGCAGCAGGCCACTCAGGAGGCCTTGCACATTGAGGAAGTCTTTCAACTCGTCCAGGCCGAAATCGCCGTGGAAGAAGATGTCCCAAAAAACGTTGACAACAGGCACGAACTTGATGATCCCAGCCATGGCCGATCTAACGCTGCTCACTCAGGTCGAAAGGCAAAGCGAAGGAAGCCTGAGAGGAAGCCTGCGGTAGACAGCAAATCGTCCGTTTCTGACATGACACCAAACTTACATATAACAGGCCTACCGCGTTCTTTCGCAATCATGTGCTTCTCATGTTCACAGGCTTGCTTGAAAGTTCATGGAACTTAGGAAGTACAGTTATAAGTACCTTAATTGGGGCGTTATGAGCAATTGTAAGTATAGTTACCTTATTCCTATCCCTAATTACCAAGTCCCAAGAACCTTAAACCCTAAACCCAAAGTCCCATGAACCTTTTAGTAAACCCGAAACCCTAAGCCCTGAATCCTCAGGTTCAGGCGGAGCTTGGTCCAAGCAGAGTACTTGGAGGCCCAGGGGACTTAGTAAGTAGGTTATAAGTAGAGTTATAAGTACCCTAAATGGAGCTATCCCAATTATAAAGTAGGTTATAAGTAGAGTTATAAGTACCCTAAATGGAGTTATCCCAATTATAAAGCCACTTACAACCGACTTACTAAGTCCCCTGAGCCTCCAAGTAGCTGAGGCGCTCACCCAGGGGGGGAAGCCCAAGCCGAGCCGTGCTGCCATTGGCGAGCCGAAGGAGGTCGTCTCGTTCCTGCCCATAACTCGGAGGGTTTAGGGCTTAGGGCTTATAAGGGCTCATAAGGTCTAGGTTTAGGGTTCAAGGTTCAGGGTTCAGGGTTTAGGGTTTAGGGTTTAGGGTTTAGGGTTTAGGGTTTAGGGTTTAGGGTTTAGGGTTTACTTGGAGGGTCGGGGGGGGTTAGTAGTGGAGTTATAAGTGCCGTAATCCCAAGTAGGGTCCCTTTTTAGGGCGCCGATAAACTGAAACCCTAAACCTGAACCCTAAAGCCTAAACCAACTCCTAAATATGTAAAACAGCTACTTGCTAAATCTCTCCGACCTACCTAGTATAGAAGCGCTAGGTTAGGTTGGTCCTGCCAAATAAAATCCTCTCATGCCCAATGTTTTAGGATTTAGGGTGTTAGGGAAAACAATGAAATATACCAAGAGCCCAGGATAATCGGCTTTCGCATTTAAGGTTTAAGGAGTTTAAGGTTTAGGGTTTCTGTACCTACAGTAAAGGACTTTCGCTCCGCCCGCTGGCTCTGATCGGGCACGTAGAAAAGTGTGACATTAAAACTAAATTTCAGATTTCTACATGATGCTTCTTCCAAAGAAACACTATAAGGCCTTCGCGCATTCTGAAATCGGGATTGTATAACGCCCTTAAGGAATACAATTGCTAGTTATTCAGACCTCTATTATAAGTCGCCTGTGGTCGAAAGCTCTCGGAATGATTCAGGTGCTCATTCTGCAGCTTCCTTTCCTAGTGGATTGCAGGAATCAGTAAGTAGGCTGCGAGTCGGGGAAGAAGGACTCGACTTTCCTTGATCCTCGAAGATCCTTTTAGGGTTTAGGGTTTAGTACGGCTCGTACAATAAGGCATGGCTTTTAGTGGTCACGTTAAGGTCACTGCGCATGCCACCGAGGTCTTGATTGCAACCCTGGAGACGGTGACGGACGTGGAGACTGCCGTCCATGACACCGGTCTCAATTCTCAGAGAACCCAATACCCCCTACTTTAAATTATAGGGGCCTTGATATTATGATTTAAAGNNATATTCCTTAATTAAGGGGTTTAGGATTCTCTGGGTTCCCTCACCTACAGGACTCGCTGTGACGTCATTCACGGTGCGCGGCGACGTGTCGGTGGCGGACCTTGAGAGTTTGCATGCGACCCCCGCGCTTACCCTCGCCTCTGAAGACGGTTTAAGGTTTAGGGTTTAG